GAGACTATAAAAAGAAAAAAAAACAGTGGACCAGAATTACTAAGGCTGTGGTAAGACACGGGCTCAAGATTCCCACGTATAAAATAGTGCAGCTTCTAGATGGCTGAATAAGGTTCAAGATCTAATCAGACTTAGGAACTGGTCAATTTAATTTGAACGGATCAGACAATGGATTTCAAATTCCTAATAGCAAGCTTGTTATAGTTGTTTGAACAATATCAAGTTATTATGGGTAACGAGTCCTTCATCAAATCAATCAAGAAATTTAATCTTTCCGATAGAAGTGATATTTTTTCAGCCTTGTATCATGTAGAGTTTACCACTCTCAGCTACTGAGGATCTTCTTGGAAATTAAAAAAGAAAAATCAATGGTACAGTTGAAATCCTATTTCAGAAGAAGAAAAGAAAAGGTTTAGAATCTACAATTTGGCATCGAAGAACTGAAATCCATTCCCGCGCACAAAACCTCTATAATTTCAATGCAAAATAGAGAGCACTAATACAAAGGTAAAATCAATGCTGATTTTGTAAGACGGGATTGGAACACCACATGATGGTGTAGTATTCACTAAATTCATGTACTAACGTAACTGACGGAAAAGGGAAAAAAAATTCAAGGTGAATATATTTATGAAGGAAGGCCTAAATTTGCATTCCACATAAACGCGCCTACATCAACACCTATACCATCAACTATTTCTCGATAATTCTTTGAACGGAATAACCAATTACTACTCAGTCTCGTGACACAAATGAATTACTCTGTTCACTATATATCAAAAGATTATGAATGCCATACCATTCGTTTAATTTGTTCAAATAATTTCCTCAAAATAGATATGTAAAGAATCGAATTTCGTCAAAACCAAAACGAAAGGATATGACCTGCAGTCACGTAAACCGATACCACCAAGTCATTGAATCTGTCAATCGCTTTTAGAAACCTGATTCACAAAACACACACACAAAAAATACAATTCAATGCCAAAAACTACAGAAATAACTAACAAACCAGCAAGTATTTTCCGAAGATTTTCAACAAATCATATTAATTTCTTCACACACTGACACACACACACACACATCATAGATACAAGATACATATAGCACAGAGAGAAACAGGATTGAGATCTCACATAGCACTGGTAGTCCACGCCATGTCCTGAACAATGTCCAACGCGGCATGTAAAATGAACTGGTGCTGATGAGCAGCATCCTCTTTCTACAATAATCGATTGCAAATACATCAAAAAATAAATAAAAATCTAATGATCATCATATATAGAACACAACGAAATTCGAGGGGAAAAAATAAAATTAAAATCAAGCTAATTCGAATTGGGGGAAATGGAAGAATAACGATTACCTTCGGGACAGTACCAACTTCAGCTTCGTAAATCGGAATGTCATTTTTGCTGACTATCATGAAACACGCAGTACTCGCCATCGATCTCTCTCTCTCTTTTCTCTCTCTCTCTCTCACTCTCTCTCACTCGTCTCCTTCGCTATTTCTCCTTCCTTTGTTTCACTTTCTGTAATTCTTTTTTCTCTAAATTTAATAAGGCCCAATCATTAATAAAGAAGAAAAAAAGTTTGTAACAGCCCAATTCATCAATAATATAAGGGGTTATTTTACATACCCCTAGCCACCAAATAAACTAGGGATAAACTCAAGCCAAATCATTCCTTTGACATACCCCTGAGGAAGCGAAAGTACTATACTACCCTTATATGCAATTTTCGGCCAAACTGCATTCAACATTTATGGTCCTGCATTTATCATTTTCGCTAATTTATTTATTTATTATTATTATTTTTTTTTTTTTATAAATCTGTTTGTTATATATATATATATATATATATATATATATATATATATATATATATATA